TAATGACGCTGTTAAATGGGGGACTAAAGTAATTTATCATGCTATTAAGTTCTGTCACTAAAACAAATGATGCTTTGTGTGCTATAAAAATATGTAATGTTTTCAACACTTCCCGTATGCCAGGCGCTGTTCTAAGTGAGATGCATGTATGTACTCATGTCATTTCTCCCAAGAAACCTCTGAAGTAGGCACTTTGTAGAGAAAATTATCCCATTTGATGGATGAGGAAATTGAGGCACGTAGTGGCTAGATGCCTTCTACACATAGCAAGTGGGATTCAAACCTAAGAGATGTGACTCCGCACTTTCAACATGGCACCATGCATTTACCTCGTACCCCTGGGTCTACAGGGGAATAGTTATGCACAGTGATGAGAAGCAACCAGCACCACTGCAGAGAGATACAAAGCCTGAGTGGTGGGCTAAGGGTGGTCACTAACCACTTGTTTCTACACATCAGCCTCACCGGGCCTAAGATCCAAATTTCCATTCAACAAAAGCAAATTTCTTTGTACAGTTGATCTTCATGACTTAGTACAAATAGCTGGAACAGTGACTGTTGAATCCATGAATGCTAGAGCTCTGCTTCATCTGCTGTTTTGGATTAATCTGTTCCTCCTCCATTCATGTATTTCTCCTTTTGGATTTCATATGCTAATTATCTAGCAGGGCTAAGAGAATTTCGTGTGGCCTCTCTGCATGCCCGTTGTTTATTCCTTCTGAGGTACAAAATGGTGCTCTGTGGGATGAAATAAATGAATTGTGGCGGGTTTGAGAAAAATGAACTTGCTATTACACATCCTGCCCATAATTTTTTTAATTTCTCCCAGATGATTGAGCTAAGATTCAATTCCTTTTATTGCCTTCAGTATTTCAGCCAAAATAAGACAGACTGCAAAAAAAATGCTAGTGATATTTTTTTCTTCTTTTTGGTCTAAATGCTATACTGTCACTTAAATACTAGTTAGGAAGACAAACGTTTCAGCTCAATTTTTCTCACTTGTGAGCCATTGCTTTTCCCCCTTCTTAATTCAGACTTAATTCCTTCAGAATTCAGTCATCAACCAGGACCCAGTCATTTCTGCCACTAACTAACTTTTCATTTCCTGAATTCATTAATATCTGCTGCAGGTACATGGCACATTCAAAGCGCCCACTTCAAGCACCGCCATTTATTCTCCTAGAAATGCATCATTACCTAAAGGAATAAACCTTTTAACTTGTATCAGCAATCAAAGAGCTCAAGTAAACGATGAAGTAAATGAATCCAAATTATAGTGCATTCAACTCGGAATTCACAGACCCCTTTGCCCTTGCCTTATAAATTTATCTTTGGACAGAATAGCCTGTTTGCAAATAATGTAAGAGACAAATTAGTCTACCCCCTCCTCCTTTCACTCAGGTTCGATTGGGCCGAGATGAACACAGAGTACCTCTTGCAAGTGCACAGAGATACACACCTACCACAGTGTTGTCTCTAATGCCAGAAAATTGGAAATGACTTAAAAGTCCTTCAGTCGGAGACTGGGCAGATAAAGTATGGTATAGCCATAGATTGAAATGCTCTGCAGCCATTACAAAAGAGATGTGTTTATTCTCATAGAAATATAAAGAGATGTAAGGGAATGATAAAGACCAAGTTCAGGATAATGGTTACTTTTGACCTGGAGGAAGGGTATGCAGTTAGGAAAGGGAGTATAGGCAGACTTCAACTAACTTCATAATGTTGTATTGAGTTTTGTGGCAGGTACGGAGGTGCTCTTACATTGTGTTTCATATCATACAGTGCAGCTGAATTATTTACTATCTTATAAAATTCTTTGAGCCACCGACTAGGAAATGCCTAGTGAGATAAAATTAAGTCACTGAGAATGCATTTCATTATGATGTTTAGAAATTGTTTTATGTGTCAGATGAGGATAATGTGCTCTGGAACGAGCATAAATGTCAACGGGTGAGATTTCAATCTTAGAAGACCTTGATTATTAGGGGAGAAAGTTATTGGTGTGGACAACAAAGGCAGGTGAAAACAAAAACAAAACAAAATGGATTATGAAGCACATATCCTCATTGGTTTAGCTGGGAGTTGCATTCAACGATCTTTAGAGTAACTTCAGCTCTAGAATTCTACAGTGCTGTAAAACTGATGCTGGTAGCCGTTTTTCACCAACCTTCTGATGTCTTTGACCAACAATCTAGATGTCACCCTGATCAGGCTAAGCTTCAGCTATTAAGCAAATATATCCTAGATGCCTACCATGTACATTGTGCTAGCTGCCGAGAGGGCTGCCAAAATGAATCAGGCATGGAATTTGCCCTCAAGAACACCCAGTAATGTGAGTAGGACAGACACGTAGCCAACTCACCATAATGTATTATAGTAAGCTCTGTAGCAATGGTATGAGTGAAAGTGCTTTAGGAACACCCAAGAAAGCACTTCTGTGGGAGCAAGAGTCAGGAAAGATTTCAGAGAAGACCTGGTATTTGCTCTGGACCTTGTAGGATGAATAGGGATAATTTTGGCAGAAGCAAAAGCATAACCAAAGGCATAAGACGTGAAAGTGTGTGGCATATTTCAGTGAACCGTGAGCAGTGCAGTGTGGCTAGATCATAGGAGAGTGTAGTCAAGATCATAAGGACTCTTGAATATCATACATAAGAGTCTGAAGTTTGTTCTGTACGTTTTAGGGAACTATGAGAAGATTTTAAAGAATGGTCAGCTTCACAGTTTAGAAGGATCCCTGGAGGATAAACTGAAGAGAGAGATGAAGCCTGGAGAGCAATTAGGAGGGCAATGTAGTCCAGACCAAAAAATGGCGGGAGCCCGCTCCAGGGCAATGGTAATAAGAATGGAAAGAAGAAAAAAAGACAGAGTCTACATTTCTATGTCCAAATAAACAAGGCATACTGAGAGGCCGAGGAAGGAGTAAAAACCAAACTTCCTAGCTTGGATGTTTGGTGGTTTACTGATAGAATTTAGGAGAGCCAGGCTTTATAATTAAGACAATAAGTTTGGTTTGGAAATGTTTAATCGAAAGTGTCTATAGGACCATCAGGTAGAGATGTCCATCAGCAAGGCTTGTTTGCTGTCTCCCCAAAACATATGTTAAATTCAACTTCTCCTCTCTGCTTGCATTGCTCCGAATCTAGTCCAAGTCACCACCATCTCTCCCCTGGACTATTAGAATAGGCTCCTAACCACTCTGGCCCACCTTAGAATGCATTCTCCATACAGCAGCTAGAGTAAAGCTTTAAAACTTTAAATCAGATCTTATCACACACCTCCTCAAAATCCTTCAATAATTTCCTAACAGAATAAATCTAAACTTTTTACCATGTCTTATAGGGCCCTAGAAGATCCGACCTCTGATTATCCTTCTAAACACATTTCCTACCATTCTCCCTTTTGCTCATTTGACTTCAGCCATATTGGCTTTTTTTTTTTTTTCCTGTTCTTTCTTCAAACCAACTATGGAAGCCATATTTCCAATCCCAGCGAACAGTTTCAGTGACTCAGTAAGGGCCTCAGTGGGTGTCTGATCGCCATAAACACGTTTCATATCCATGGCGATAGCCCTGGGAGTTCCATCCCTCTGAAATTATTTAAGCAGGTCAACGCAGGCTTCAAGAATGTAGCTGGCCAACGTCCAGAGAAGAGCAACTAACTAATCAAAGAAGCAGAGGCAGGGGTCGGGAAACCCCATAAAAGGACACTTGAAATCCTGGCATGTTTATAGTCTCGACCATGCTACCTCCCCTCTGGTCAAATAGCACTTTACAATTTTTCTGTTGGGTTTTCATTCCTAGGGACCTAACTCCCAACTCAGCTGGAAGTCATAGGGTCATTGAGACCATGCTTCCTTTATATTCTCCAGAATGCCTACCATAGGTCTGTAAGCATTTAGCACATGTTGTAAGGACCACCTGAATTGAGATGACATTTAATGGCATTAAATTCAAAATCCAAAATGGTAAGGATGAGGGAAATTTGGTTTGGTCAGAAGAACTCACAGTTTGGGTTTGGCTTCAACCTGAGTTAAAAGAGGGACTATTCACTCCATCATACTCTTCCCACCCCCAGGAGAGTGCTTGAGGTATAGCAGGTGCTTGACAAATGTTTGTTAAAAGGATGGATGAAAGGCTAAATACATTAACCCAAACTCAGGCAGTGTTATGCTAGAAAATAATGCTCCAGTGACAAGAAGCACACAGTTTTTCTTTTCGTTCTGTCTTCGTCAGATATCTGGGGTACCATGTCTATTTCTAGACAATCTAATTGAAGAGAAGCCTTGGTAGCCAGACTCCTATGGGAGATAGACCGAAATTGTCAGTCTTCCGGAAATAGTGTTCAACATGAGTGGAGAGATGAAGAGGGGGTATAACAACAGCCTTGCAATATTTAGAGGGCCATCATGCCGAAGAAGGAACAGAATTGCTTTACGTAGCTCTAGCAGGTAGTGTTAAAGGTTGGGAGTCCTAGAGAAACAAATTTCAGCTCAGAAGAAGAAAGTGCTTTCTTACAGTCATTAATGTCCCGCGCTGGAGCAGGCTAACTGAAATGATTGTACACTCCCGTCCAGTGGCATTTTTTTTTTTTCCGGGCAGGCAAAGGGTAATCACATAGCAGGATATTGTAGGGGAGATTTCTGAATCGAGAAGAAGATTGAACTGAGAAAGTGTTTTTCCAACTAGATTGCAACCCATTAGTGGAGCCATGAAATCAATTCAGTGGGTCCTGACTGGCATTTCTTTCTTTTTTTCCAGTGAATTAGAATACAATAGAAACTATCAGAGGGCATCACCCGTTGCAAAGATGAGTGCGGTGTTGAGTTGCCTATTTTGGAACCGTGTTTACCTATGTATGAATGTAACTTCTGGGCCACAGCGTGACATGCTCTTCTCACTTGTGGGTTGCAATCGGAATTGTTTGAAAATCAGTGCACCGAGGCCTCTTCTAGTTTTCATATCTGGTAGCTCTAAGAATCCCTATCTCTGTTGCAGAGGTCCAAAATTGCAGTCTATGAGAAAATGTGGTCTTACATGAAATCAGCAGAACCATCCGTATTTACCAAAACAACGGCAGACGGAGTGGCCCGGGTGCGCAAGTCCAAGGGAAAGTTCGCCTTCCTGCTGGAGTCAACCATGAACGAGTACATTGAGCAGAGAAAACCGTGTGATACCATGAAAGTTGGTGGAAATCTGGATTCCAAAGGCTATGGTGTGGCAACCCCTAAAGGCTCAGCATTAAGGTGGGTGGAATAATATAACAATATCCGTGTTGTTATAGTATTCCACCTACCCTGATGCATTTTGTTGTCATTTTCTTTCTTGTGGATCTTGAGGTAACTTTTAAAAGTTTAAAATCTACACTATTCCATGGAGTTAAATAAGATGGTAAATTATGGTTTCATCTATCTAATGCATCCATTTTTTTTTTTAATGTTCTCTCTCTGTGTTGTCCTCTCTGACTGTGTGTTGCTGTTTTAATTTTACAGTTCAACGGCTTTTTCAATTTAAATGGTAAAAGCCAAGTTACGGTGCCATATGTGACGAATGTTAATTGCATGGATGTGGTGTTCTTGTTCCTTTTTTTCTCAAAGACAATTTCCCCATCCCGCACACTTCAGTTCTGAGCAAATGTTATCCTCCATGCCACCTTCCAATATTTAACCCTGTATTTGCTGTACAGACATTTTTATAGCTCCACGTTCTGTGAAATTTAGCCAATTTGTCCTCTTGTGCTCCTTTTTATACGTTAACGATTTCCTACGCATTTGTGCATTTTCTTACAAGTTATGTTTTATCGTTTCAAGAAATGCTGTTAACCTGGCAGTATTAAAACTGAATGAGCAAGGCCTCTTGGACAAATTGAAAAACAAATGGTGGTACGACAAAGGAGAGTGCGGCAGCGGGGGCGGTGACTCCAAGGTCAGCCTCAATGTCACCACAACCGGGTACCCTTAGTGACGAGTAATCGGCAAGACTGTTATCTTATTATTGAGGAGAGAGCACAAGACGCACACAGAAAGTGGAATGACCAGGTTATTCCGCTGCCTGGCAGCTTTGGGAACCAGAAAGACTTCAGGGCACTGCCCGCATTTTTTGATCTAACTTGGGTCCCTTCTTAAACTCCCAGACAGAGGCTCCCCCCTCCACACCCCTCCCTTCCCCTCACACGCCAGACCGGTTGCCTTATGAAGGCCACGGTGTGGGTTTCAATGGCCTCGGCTCTCAAGAGCCCAGGGCTTTCCTTAAGACTGTCCCTGCCTGCCTCACGTGAACCGTGTGAGAGGTCAAATCTATCTACTGAAAAGTCAGGTTACGGTCTTTCCCTCTCCCCCCCGCCCCACAACGCATGATGGTTGCTCACCAAGGTTGACTGGTTGATTAGAGTTGGCTTCCTCGATCATGTGTATGAGTGATGAGGTGTTGTTCTCCATATGCGGTGGCCCATTTAAGCTGGCCCCACTTAACTTGAAAAGCCAAAGAACACGCTAGGTTTCAAGTTAAATGGGGTCTTTCTTCAATAGGCCACCCCATATACAGACTTGGCAAAGATATTCTGTATATTTAAACAAGCGCGTCGCCTAACTGTGGTACTCCGTGTGTATGAATCCCTGATTTGGCTTCTCCTTAGCCGTGTTCTTGGTTCAGGTAGGTCTAACTGTTATCCAGGCTGCCATCATGAGAAAATCCATCTCACTTGGCATCCCTTTGGACCCATAACGCTCTCCGGGACTAGAAAGAACGAATAGCCTTCATCCAAGCAACGGGAAATAGTTGCAAGCTCAGAAGTCAGGACAGCAAGTACTGGAAAGACATGTTGGGTAAGTACAGGAGAGGACCTGAGAACACAATCCTCCATGACCCAGAGAGCATGAGAATTATATTGAAGCATGTAAGATGGACTCTTGTACAACCAAGATACCATGGGCATCTCGTAAGGTGAAGAACAGTGTTCCCCACACACAGGCCAACAGACAGGCAAGCCAAACTTTTTCTCCTTCAGAGACAATGGTTACACCTCTGCTCTTCTCTTTCTCTCTCCATTCCTCAGGATCCTGATGGAAAAGTTAGTTTGCCAGTCTGCAGTATAATATGGGTTTGGAAACACTGATACAGAGCCCTCTCAAAGTGATAAATTCACATACAACTTTCTTCAGCACATAATCTCACCAGGCACTGGTGAGGTCTTTTACTGTAAAACCTTGATTAACCAGAACTCACCTAACCACTACCCCAACTAACTGAATCACCCCTCCTCAGTACTCCACATTGATGAGAAAGCAGCAATAGTACCAAAACAGAAGACTGCAAGGAATTGATCTTTTTTTTTTTTTTTTTTTTAATCACTTACCAAGAGATGACCTATGGTTAGGTCACATTCAGCTTTGTCTCCCATATCATCTCTCTCTCTGGATTGATCCTCAAACATTAGAGGCTGCTTCCCGGAGGCGAGAAAGTGGATACAAGCATTTTGAGGAGAAAAAAAAAATGTCACTAGCCAAGAATGAAACAAAATGAGTACTCGTATTGAAAATTCCATTCATCCCTTATGGATTTCAATTAATCAAGGTTTTACTGTGTGTCAGAAAGCAGTAACTTCCTTTTCCACCAGTGTGAACTGATGACAGTCACAGTTTAGCCAAGCTTTGGGCTCATTTGAGTTTTGCAGTGGCTAACCTGATACCTAGAGTATTTAGCACCTTCTTCTTCTTGGTCTTTTTCTCATGTTATTAGCAGGCCACGGAGACCCTAATTATATCACGCAAGTGAGTTGCAGAAGGAAAATTGAGCTGGATTGGATACATTGCTCTCGAGAATTCGCTCAGCATGGTTACAAAGGAGTCGTGGACTGTGTCAAGATGACTCTAAAGCATCCACATGATACCAAGTGCCCAGGAGTTTTCAAATAACCAGATGTGTGATGTTACATAAACCAAACACTCTGCATGCGTTTGGCCGAATTTTTACTTTTCACCCAGATGTTTTGGTATCTCGAAGACCCCTAAAACTTTAGACCAGCTATTTGCTAATTACAACGAGCAGTCAAGCTTTTCTCTTTCCTCAGCTGATACTGCGGCAAAGTTATCAAGTAACTTTATTGCCGGCCCGCGATTTCCAGATTATCTGATTTTTGATATGCAAATAGAGAAAGATCTCAGTAGAACCTAAGTGTTTCCAACTGCTTTGACATTAGCGCTACCTGCCAGGCATCTCAAATCACTTGGTTTGGTCATTCTTCCAGCCAGCCTTTTGAAATAAGTCAACCCCTTTCTCAGCTGTGGATAATAGTAAAATGAGTGCTGCATATCCAGCGATTGCTTATTCTGTTTCCGGATTACCAAGGAGCTTGCCTTTATCTTCTTCCTTCTTGCTACCTGCTGTTTTCTGGGAGTGAGCAAGAGCAGGGGCAAGAGATGAACTTGAGAATCTGTTTTACCACTATTTGGTGGTGATGCCAAAAACAAATCAATGGAGAAGAAGGTAGAAAAGGCAGTGAAACCTCATTAATTTGGAGCCCTCAAATTTATCATTTGCGACCAGTCCACAGTCTGCCCATATAGTATCAGGAAAGGGTCCAAGAGAGGTTTGTTAAGCAAATGAAGAGTTGAGATTGTCGGTTGAATTCTTCCCTTAAGAGAACAAACTTCTTTCTCAAACGTTGCAAGCATTGGTTAGACACAGTCCTATTCGTTACCAGTCTATCTGCTAATGTATTTCTCACAAGGACCTCCACTGTGGCAATGTAGCATAGTGAGCTTGAATCACAAAACAGACGTAAAGTAATAAAACTGTCATTCTTCAAACCTGTTTTGTAATTCGGCACTTTCCCATTCAGACAGTCCTTCCCCTCTGGTAGTCCAGATCATGAGGCTTAATTGTATTAGTAAAATGGCTTGGGAATTACACTTCTTTATTGTATCCCATTCCCAGTTAACATGACAATTGACTGTCGAATATATACCGTCATTTCACAGAGAATGAGACCCAGAGATGGTGGTGACTTTGAGAAGGTCACACAGCTAATGCTGCCACAAATCTCTGCCGACTTTCAGGGTCACCTCTTGCGATGCTATCGCAAACAGCAATTTATATCACATGTACCCACCCAATGAGCAATGTGAATCTGATTGCACGTGATAGATTTCCCTAAGAATCGGGTTCATTCTCAGCTACCTTGGTTACAAGGCAAATGGCATATTTAAGCCATTTCAGCCCTCAGTACTGATTACTAAAAATGACAATAATCACAAAGCCTGACATTTATGAGTGCTTTCGCTTTTTCAAAAACACTTCCATACCTATTATCTCTGAAACTGGGAGACAGAGAAAACCCTGTAATAATCTCTCAGACTCTCTCCTGCAACCTTAAAATAATGCTAAGATGGGCAATTATATTCAATTGTTGACTTTAACTCCCTGACATGAGACATCATGCGTTCTAAGACTAGTCTCCAAAAGTTACTCCTCTTTGGAAAGAACCAGCAATTTTTTCAGGCTGTTTTAAATGTGCACATGCTTAACCTAATGAAATAGACATTTATTTCATTTTCTGAATACGGGGGATTAAGACAAGGTGAGTCACCGAGGTGGCCGCTGAGCCGGACCGATAGGCTAGAACTGAAATACTGCTTGGTTTCACCAGTTTCCTGAACCTGGGCAAACCTGACCCCAACAGATCAGACCTGATCTTTTCTTGATGGACCATGAATGTCCAGGCAAGGATCATGAAAATTAGAGGTGTGGTTGGGGAATCTTTAACCTGTAAACCGCCCTTTTGTGTTAGCACGGTATTATAACGTGTGCGCCAACGCGGTAATTAAGAGCCAGTAGGTTGTTTCAGCGATAAACCCCAAGCACCGGGGGTTTGGGACACAGCCAGTGAAAGCCTGTCGCTGTGAATCACAGCAGAATGGGGATTTAGCTGCTGAATTACCACAAAAGCACAGTCAGCCTCCCTCCACAGCTGCCCGTCACCTCAGACTTTCAAATTCTTCTGATCCACCCCCACTCACCCTGCTTCACTCCCTTAATCTTGGGGAGACAGCACCAGCTTAGATTTCCTGTGTAGCCTTACCTTACGAGAGGGGGACTGGTCTGTGGAACAAGCTATCTGTGACTGGGGTGACAAAGCTTTATAAGCCCTACCCCACCTCACTGTAATACGGCCCTGGTTTCAGTTCCATCCGGGGATTCAGACTTACAGTGTCCATATGTCCATTTCCAAGCTGAAAATCAGCACGCCTTGTGCTTTGGGGGAACATTGGAGCAGAATGTTTAAATGGAACCATTCCGAGCCCCTTGACTAGAAGGAGAGCTGTATGATGGGTGCCTTAACTTGCAAGGCATATAGGGAAGTAAGGGATGACAATGTGATATGCAGTTAAACTTTGACTGATTAGAGAAGTAGTTGAATGATCATTATGATTTCTGGGATATTGATGGAGAAATGCAGCTGGGTCATATTAAAAAATATACAGGGATGAGAATAAACTAACCAATGTGACTCTAAGAAAGCACTTAGGGAACTTGCTTTCAGAAATTCAAAACGTGGCTTATGGTGAAAATGAGTTGTGTTTCTTTTCACGTGGGTGCTTTCATAGCACCTGGAAAGAGTTTGTTCTCTTTAAGAAATTCAAGCCCATCCTTACTTCTAATCGCTAGTGGTCATTTCTTTTTTAAACCTCATGCATTTGCTTAACAAGTCTCATATTCAAAGATAGTAAAAAGTTATACTTTGGAACAGCCCACTTCCAAATGCCCTCGGCTTCCCACTTGGTGGTACTTAGATGAATGAGGTGGTGCTATGTTTCCCATATGTATAAATGAGATCCTCAGTTTTGTGTGTATTTCTTCTTCCATGTATGTCTACAATCCTCCTCCCCTATGCCGCCGTCTCTTAACCGCTTCTCTTCCACACCCAG